AGGAGCAGTGGGCATGGGCATCATCCTATCTGCCGACGGGCCCGCTGGGGCCACGGCTTGGGCTTCTCATCGCGTTGCGATAGTCTCGTGGTAAAACTTCCACGCAAGAGCTCCAACTCTGCGGGACCTCTACGCAAGAATGCGGGAGTTCGAACAACCTTTTCGTTGAGCACGCTATGAGCAGCGACGAAGTAGGCTCCAAGGCATCCCTCCCTGCAAAAGCAATGCGAGTCCTTTTACCCCTCGAGCCCCCTGGAAAACCCCCAGAACGCCCCAAAACACCCGAAAACCTCGATCCTCGATCGTGACAACGACGACGATGGCAACGACGACTAACCCTCCAGGTTGGGATCCCTGGGTCTCGCGAGACCAATTCCAACCTCAAGGGGTGCTGTTGGGGTTCAGGTAACATGACCCTACGGGGATCGGGATTGGCTACGCGGTGCTGAGCTGCATTACTTTTCAATCTGGCTGTAAGCCCTGCTGTTGGCTCCACGGTGCCGACGAAGAGCGCGCAGGGGGGGGGCAGCCGCACAACCTGCACTCCTCGGCCCCGCGGGCCGCCCGCCCTGGTCAGGAGCGCAAGGCTGGGAGGTTCCCGGGGTCGCCCGACTTCGCGCAACCTTAAACCACCAAAGGTTGCGCATCGCGCCCGGGCATGCGCGACGCACAAGAATCGTCCCGCCCGCGCGAAGCGCAGTTAGGTTCGCGCCCCCTCCGAAGGACCTAGGCGCATCGCGCCCGGCGATGCGCGCCGCGCGTTTGTCTCCGCGCCATCGCCGAAGGGACAAGCTCGAGGCTCGAGGGGCCCACGCGCCTGGCAACGAGATCAAGCCACCTGTGATTCCTCCATTTGGCGCCTGCAGCCGTGAGAACAATTGCCAAGTCCATGGGTGCAAGACGTATGTTCGATACTCCCGTTCGCGCACTTAGTTGCACGTGTGGGAAATCCGTCGGCTGCATGTTAGATACCCCTCTTGGCGCGTTGGCGCCTACACATCCGAAAACTTGTGCCAAATGCGCACGTGCAGAACGCGTGCTCGATACTTATTCCTAACCATCCTGTGGCATTGGGTCCTCGCTTTGAAGAGATAGCGGCCCGCATCCCTCCTTCTCCTTCTCCTCCTCGCCCCTCATCCCCCTGCCATCCTGGCCTCTGATCTTCGCATGACAGCACCGCCATCATCACCATCCTCATCATCATTATCATCATCAGCATCATCAGCATCATCAGCATCATCATCATCATCATCATCATCCTCCTCCTCATCATCAGCATCAGCATCAGCATCAGCATCAGCATCGTCATCTTCACCAGCATCAGCATCAGCATCAGCATCAGCATCAGCATCAGCATCAGCATCATCATCATCATCATCATCATCATCATCATCATCAGCATCATCTTCATCTTCATCTTCATCATCATCATCATCATCATCATCATCAGCATCATCATGTGCAGCATCTTCATCATCATCCTCATCTTCATCCTCATCCTCATCCTCATCGGAATCATACTCATCCTCATCCTCATCCACATCATCATCATAATCATCATGATCATTAGCAGCATCATCACGACCATCAGCATCATTGGGATCATCATCATCATCAGCAGCATCAGCACCAGCATCATCATAATCATCATCATCAGCGTCATCGGCATCGTCATCGTCATCGGCATCGTCATAACCATCGTCACCATCATCAGCATCATCGGCACAATTAGCATCATCATCATCATCATCATCATCAGCATCGTCATCATCATCATAATCATCAGCATCATCATCACCATCATCATCATCATCTTGATCATTAGCATCATCATAACCACCATCAGCATCAGTGCGATCATCATCGGCAGCAGCATCAGCATCAGCATCATCATCATCATCAGTATCATCATCATCAGCGTCATCATCGTCAGCAGCAGCATCGTCATCATCATCGGCATCAAAACATCATCGTCATTACCATCATCAGCATCATCATCAACATCATCATCATCTCGTTATCATCAGGATCACCATCATCATCAGCAACAGCATAATCACCAGCACCAGCATCATCAACATGATCAGAATCCTCATAATCAGCAGCAGCATCGTCATCGTCATCGTCATCGTTATCGGTATCGTCATCATCATCAGCATCACCATCTTCAGCATCATCATCAGCATCACCACCATCATCAGTATCATCAGCATCAGGATCACCATCATCATCGTCAGCATCATCATTCTCATCGGCATCAGCATCATCAGCATGACCATCAGCATCATCATCAGCATCAGCATCATCATAATCCACATCATCATAATCAACAGCGTTATCACCATCAGCACCATCATCATCATCAGCATCAGCACTATTATCATCGTCATCATCATCCGCATCATCAACATCAGCATCATCCTCAGCATCAGCATCAGCATCATCATCGTCATCATCAGCATCATCATCGTCATCATCATCACCATCACCAGTATCGTCATCGTAATAATCATCATCAGCACCAGCATCCTGATCAGTATCATCAGCAGCACCAGCAGCATCAGCATCACTATCATCAACATCATCGTCATCAGTATCATCAGTACCATGGTCATCATCATCGTCATCATCATCATCATCATCAAGATCATCATCAGCATCATCATCATCACCACCATCATCATCATCATCATCATCAGCATCATCATCATCATCATCATCATCATCATCATCATCATCATCATCAGCATCATCACCATTATTACCATCCATATCCATGAACATCAGCATCAGAATCACATCATCAGCAGCATCATCACCATCAGCATCGCCATCGTCATCGTCATCATCGTCATCGCCACAATCATCAGCATCAGCATCACCATCACATCGTCATCGCCATCGTCCTCATCAGCATCACCATCAGCATCATCATCATCATCAGCATCGTCACAAGCGGTACCATCAGCATCATAAGCATCATCATGCTCACAATCATTATCATCATCATCAGCATCATCGTCAGCATCATCATCATCATCATCATCATCATCATCATCATTATCAGCATCGTCGTCGTCGCTATCGTCATCGTCATCTCCATTATCAACATAACCACCTCATCATCATAGTTTCATCATAACCAGCCGCGACGTCATCATCATCAACATCAGCATCATCATCATCATTATCATCATCATCAGCAGCAGCATCATCATCATCATCAGCATCAGCATGGCCGTCATGATCACCATCATCGTCATCACTCCCATTTCGGCACACCCCTCACACGCTTCGTGGAGCCATTGGGGGCTCCACCGAAGGCCCCCGTGCCGCAGCCCGCATGTGGGCTCCACCCCCGTTTCGGCACACCGCTCACATCTTCGTGGCCATTCAGAGAGTTCCACCCAAGGCCCCACTGGCGGCGCCCGCATGTGGGCGCCACCCCCGTTTCGGCACACCCCTCACACGTTTCGTGGCCCCAGCGGAAACTCCGCCTGAGGTCCAGGTGGCGCCGCCCGCACGTGGGCGCCACCCCGTTTCGGCACACTCCTCACACGTTCCGTGGCCCCACAGGAAGATCAGCCGAAGGTCCAGGAGGCGCAGCCCGCATGTGGGCGACACCCCCGTTCGGGCACACCCCTCACACGCTTCGTGGCCCAGCAAGGAGATTCGGCTAAGGCCCCAATGACGACAACCGCTTGTGGGCGACACCCCCGTTTCGGCACGTCCCTCACATGTGTCGTGGCCACACAGGGAGCTCCACCTAAGGTCCCACTGGCGCCGCCTGCATGTGGGCGCCACCCCCATTTCGGCACACCCCTCACACGCTTCATGACCCCACAGGGAGCCTCGCCGAAGGTCCAGATGGCGCGGCCCGCACGTGGGCGCCACGCCTGTTTCGGCACACCCCTCACACGCTTCGTGGCCACATGGGGAGCCCCACCCAAGGCCCCAGAGGCGCAGCCCGCATGTGGGCGCCACCCCCGTTTCGGCACACCACACACACACACACACACACACACACACACGCGCGCACACACACACACACACACACACCACACACACACACCACACACACACACACCACACACACACACACACACACCACACACACACCACACACACACACACACACACACACACACACACACACACCACACACGTTTCCTGGCCCCAGACGGAAGTCGGCTCAAGGCCGAAGTGGCGCCGCCCGCATTTGGGCGCCACGCCCGTTTCGGCGCACCCCTCAAACGTTGCGTGGCCCCATACTGAGTTCCGCCCAAGGTCCCTCTGGCGCCGACCGCATGTGGGCGCCATCCCCGGTTCGGCACACCCTTCACACGTTTTGCGGCCCCACGGGGAGCTCCGCCTAAAGTCTACGTTTCGCATCCCGCATGTGGGCGCCACACCCGTTTCGGCACACCCCTCACACGTTTCGTGGCCCCACAGGGAGATCCGCCGAAGGTCCAGGTGGTGCAGCCCGCATGTGGGCGCCACCCCCGTTTCGACACACCCCTCACACGTTCCATAGCCCCACAGGGAGGCCCAGCTAGCTAAAGCCTCACTGGCGCAGCACGCACGTGGGCACCACCACCGTTTCGGTACATCCCTCGCACGCTTCGTGGCTCCATAGGGAGCTCCAGCTAAGGCCCCCATGGCGCAGCCCGCACGTGGGCGCCACCCCCGTTTCGGCACACCCCTCAAACGCTTCGTCGTCCAATAGGGAGCTCCACCCAGTGCCCCAATGGCACCGCCTGCATGTCACGCGTTTCGGCACACACACACACACACACACACACTTACACACAGCACGCTTCGTGGCCTCACAAGGAGCTCTACCTGAGGCCCCAGTGGCGCCGCCTGCATGTGGGCGTCACGCCCGTTTCGAAGCACCCCTCGCACGCTTCGTGGCTCCATAGGGAGCTCCACTTAAGGCCACACTGGCGCAGCCCGCATGAGGGCGCCACCCCCGTTTCGGCACACCCCTCACACGCTCCGTGGCCCCAGAGGGAGCTAGCTCTGCCGAAGGCCCCAGTCGCGCCGCCCGCATGTGGGCGCCACCACCGTTTCGCCACACCCCTCACACGCTTCGTGGCCCCGTAAGGAGCTCCACCCAAAGCCCCATTGGCGCAGCCCGCATGTGGGAGACACTCCCGCTTCGGCGCACCCCCCACACGTTTCGTGGCCCCCGTTTCGGCAGGTCCCAGCCCCAACCAGAGAAATTTGCGGGGACCCTTGAAAGTCTATGCTTATGCAGTTGTGATGTTCGATTAGCGAGGCCACCCTGGAGATGGGCCTCCCTCTGACACGGGCCGCGACGCGCGAAGCGCCATCATCTTCAGGACCCTTGGGGGGGGTGATCCAAGGTTCCCTGCCTGACTGCTTGTCTTCCCTTCTTTGCTTTCTTACGGTCTAGACAACGAGCACGATCGCGAGCCCATGGATACGTCCCACGCGGAGCATTCCGCGCAAGGCCGCCCGGTATCCGCAGGATCGAGGCCGAGCAGTCCAGACCACGAGACCGTGGACATGTATATGTTCGCCGCCCACGCTTCTTATCTCTCCAATCTCGGGTCGGGCGAAAAGGGGGGATAGCAAAGGGGGGGTTTGAGAATCAGCTCACGTAGCTGATTTTCCCGGCGCCTCCCGGCGCCGGAGGCGGCTATGTATCGAGGAATGGGCCCCTCGGTGGGGCCGAAACCAGCTGCATGCAGCAAATTTCGTAACCCCCCCTTTCCCTATCCCCCCCTTTCGCCCGGCCCGACAATCCTTTCCCGCATGAGGTGCCTACTAGGGGATCCGCGCCGTGAAACAAAAACGACTGGGATTGCCCACTTGCCGCTGCATGTTACTCCAGGGTTCCCACAGGAACGCCACCAGACAGACTGGAAGGTCACAAAAAAGGCATCAAGGAAGGCCCCAAAAGGCCCCGAAGAGGACCTCCAGAGCCCAAGACGGAAGAAGATCGCCCCACGATGCACCTAAGATGACCCAGGAAGCCCCAATGCGTCCCCGAGGGAGCAAAAAACGCTGAAAACAATTCATTTAGTGCTGTTTGCCTGTCCCATCGCTGGCCCCCAAGGTGCCCCAAGATTGATTCCAAGATGGCCCGAAAGGTCGCCCTGAAAGGCCCCAAGATGCCGCCCAAGTCGCCTGGAATGGCCCCCAGATGGCCCCCAGATGCCACCAAGACCTCAAGATGCCCTCCAGATAGCCCACAGGTAGCCCCACCAGAGGCCCCACGATGCCCCCGAGAGGCTCCAAGAGGCCTCCAAAGTGGGCCCAACAAAAACTGCCCCAACATAGCCACGGGATTGCTCAGCCCAGGGGCGTCGCGCAGCCGCTCAGACCTGATTATGAGGTGACCGTTCGGGCAGCCCTAGAAGAGTGACCACTCACTTGCCCTTCTTCTTACCGCCGCAGAACCTCTTGAGCGCCTGCTTGAACCTCTGAGCATCGCCGCTCGCCTCCATCAGCTCCTTCACGAGCCTGGCCTTGGACTCCTCCTTCGTGTTGGGTGACGGGAATCCGTCGCCACCCACGGCCATAGCCACCCACGCCTCCGCCGCCTCCGGGCCGTACTGGAAGACGGCGCGCGCGGCGGGCATGATCACGCCCAGGGCGTTCGGCGGCATCTGGCCCATGAGTGCCTTCATCGTGCCTCGCACCGCCAGCGCCCCCAGGGGCCAGGGCGGTTCGACCCCGGCCACTCCGACGGCGTCCAGCGCCGCGTGCGCCTGAGCTCGTACGCCGCCGGCCTCGTCCCAGACCTGCGCCAGCAGAGCCAGAGCCCGCGCTGGGGGGTCCAGCTGCGGGGCGGCCACCAGCGACAGGGCCGCACACAGCGCCAGCCGGAGCCCCCCGCCACCCTGGCAGAGCAGCGCCGCGGGCGCGTGCCTGCCCGCCTCGTGGACCAGCCGCGCCCACTCCTCGATCGCGGCGCGCTCCGCCGCCGTCGTCAGCACCACCTCAACGTCCACGCCGCCCTCGTCGCAGCTGCGCACGGCCGGGTCCGCCAGCAACCGCAGGCGCCGCGAGGCGCGCCCCTCCGCGTCGAGCTGCGCCCACGTGATCTCGCCCACGCCGCGCAGCAGCTCGGCCGTGAGGGCGGTCACCGCGGCTGGCTCCTGAGCCTCCCGCGCGCACCGGTGCACGAGCGCCGTCGTCACGCCAAGGAGAGGCGCCCTCGCGTCGGGGCGCTGTGTAAAAACACCAGCAACGAGCTGTGCCAGCGGCTTCAGCGCCTCCGCTGGCAAGGCCTCTGCGGCACGCGACAGCAGGGCCGCGAGGCCCTGGGCGTCCAAGTGGGCCTCCGAGAGGAAGGCCCAGAATGGCGCCAGCGCTGCCGCCAGGGCAGCCGCCTGCACGCCCGCAGCGTGGGACACGACCTCTGCGGCCCCCATCAGGGCAAGCTGTGCCGGCGAACCACTATCGCGGGCGATCGCCAGGCAGTCACCCAAGAGCCCAGCCGAGGCGTCTGCCCAGGACGCCGCCGCCACGGCTGCCGCCTGCACCAGCACCAACACCGAATGTGGCTGAAGCGAGCTGGATCCCCGCGACGACGACGCCTCCGACAAATGAGACCGCACGTCCCCACGCAAGGCTGCGGCCGCTTCTGGCGACAGGGTGCGCCCAGCACAGCCGAGGCAAATCTTCAGCAAGCAGACGACGCCCACATGGTCCTGCTTCACCCGGAACGGGTACGCAAAGCCCTCGCCCTCTGCGGGGTGCTCCTGGATCGCCAGGGAGGCCCTCGCCATCTGCAGGACGCGCGGGGCCAGAGAGGCCCCGCCTGGGTCCTGCAAGAACAGGGACATGTAGTGCGAGGCGCACATGAGGTAGGTTGCTGCCAGCTGCCGGTGGCAGTCGCACCGAAGCACGGGGCCGTCGTCCGCCGCGAGCGCCGAGAGGACCTGCACAACCACAGCCGCGGCCTGCGCCTCCGCAGGGCCGCCGGAGGCAGAGACCACCACCGCCTTGGCGAGCGCCGACAGCGCGTGCACGGCCTCCTCCAGCGGCCGCCACGGCCCGCGGAGGCCCGAGGCGACGTCGGCCTGCAGCTGCTCCAGGAGCGCGTGGCGCGCCTCGGCACTGGCCGTCAGCAGCCGCAGCGCGTCCCGCAGCTCCCTCCGATACTCCACGAACTCGTCCCGCGCCTCAGCGGTGAGGTGCTCGTAACGCTCCGTGTAAACAGAAGCCGCGCGGAGAGCGCCCATGGCGCGCACGAGCACCATCGCGTACGCCCTGGTAGCACCCACCTTGACGACATGCTCCCCCAGGGCCACCCAGGTCTGCATCGTGAGCGCAGCGAACTGGTGGCCCCAGCGCGTGCCAGCCATGAGCGCGTCGAGCAAGGTCGCCCACGCGGGCGCCGGCGGCGACTCCGCGACAACAAAGAAGCGGCACCAGGCGCTGGTGGCCGACGCCACCAGGCCGCAGAGGGTGGTGCGCTCCGCAGCGCTGGAGGGCTGCACCTCGGCCAGCAGGCGAAGCAGCGCGTGCGCCAGCTTCTCCGGGCACGCTGGGGCGCAGCGGGACTTCTGCAGCAGCGCCTCCAAGAACTCTGCCGCCACCGCAGAGCTGTGCCCGGAGTCCTGTGCGCCTGAAGGGCCAGCCAGCAGCCTGGCCGCCACAGCCAGCAGCGGCGACGCGGCAAGCTCGTCGAGCGCCTGCACGCTGCTGTCGCTCATGAGGAGCCAGCTCGTGGCCGCGGACAGGGCGAGCGCAGGCCGCGGGAGCTCCAGCCGCCCGGTGCACTGGAGCACGTCCGTCGCCGTGGAGGCGATCTCGAGCAGCAGCTGGGGCCGAACGCTGTCGATCTTCACCTCCTTCGCGTTGGCCTCCTCTGGCAGCGCACGGAGCGCCAGCAGCGCCAGCTCCGCCTTGGCCGCGTCGGCTCCAGCGGCCTCCACGAGCAGAGCCTCGGTGGGCAGCGGCCCGCCTGCGTGCAGCCACATCGCAACGGCTCCCCGCACGAGCAGCTCCCCTGCACCCGACGCCGCCGAGGACTCCAGCTGCACGGCGCCGGCAAGGCGCAGCACCTCCGCGGGGGGAGGGTCGCCGGGCCCCGCGCCGCGCGCCTGGAGCCGCCTCCTCACGGTGGACGAGAGCAGCTTGACGGCCTCGGGAGGCAGCTGCCTGGCGCCTGCCAGTAGCTCCAGGCACACAGGCACAGCGCTGTCGGACCGCTGGAAGTCGCACAGGAGCTTGTCGGCGGTGCGCCGGGCCGAGGCTGCAGCAGCTTGGTCCTGGGGCGCCGCGGGTGACGCCAGCAGCGCAGCCACTGCGCGCAGCACCTCATCCTTGCTGAAACGGTCCCTCTCGCAGTCCCCGCTCGGCTGGGGCCGGCCTTCTACACGCATCGTTTCAGCCAGCTATGGCCCATACGGCCGTGCTGCTTGCTGGCATGACTGCAACGCAGGGAGGACTCAAAATCCCACAATCAAGCAGATGCATTGGCTGCGGAAGATTTGCGTGCAAATGGGTACGGACAGCAGATACAGATACATATCTACATATATATATATAGAGAGAGAGAGTACACACCAACACTCGCGCGCACATTCCTGAGACGCCGAACACGTTCTGCTGGAACTGAACAAATCGTGAGTGGTGCCAACAAGGGCTAATTGCCGAGGAGCCACAGCTCAACGGCAGAAGTGCAAGCGAATCGTGCACGGCCTTGGACGGAGAGCCGACACGGAGCACACGAGAGCGAGGCGCGGAGAGCACGGGGATGGCCCGCAACAGTAGATGCTGGGGGAAGGCAAAGGGCCAGAGGCGCCCTCCTGGCGCGAGCTTCGAACAGATTCCGAGGCAGTGGCGGAGCGCTGTCCACTCGTGGCGGACGGGCTTGGCAGTCGCCGGAAGCGCCGACGCAACCCAATAGGCAGGGGACAAAGTGGTCAGGCGTGCAGTGCGTAACGCGAAGAATAAGCCACGCAGAAATCGTCCCGCCGAATAGCCACCCGAAGCGAACCCGCCAGCCACAGCAGCCCCCAACGAGTGTCATAATCCGACGCGCACACGACTCTGTGGTGCCACCCGACGAGTGTCATACTCCGACGCACCGAACTGGGTGTATGGCGACCCCATCCCTAGTCTTTGCGGGGACTCCCATTGGAGCAGAGATTTGGGGCCAAATCTTGTGTTCGTGCGCATATAGATACATATATATATGTGTGTGTATACATACATCTATGTGTGAATATACATATATGCACACATACATATATATATATATAAACATACATACATACATACATACATACATACATACATACATACATACATACATACATACATACATACATACATACATACCAGAGTGAGGGGGGCGAACTGTCATTCATTGTCCCTGGGTGCGGGGCTGAACAAAAAAAAACGTGGTGAGAATTGTTTGCTGCGTTGTTGCGCTGTTGTTGTTGTCGTTTTGTTGTTAGTGGTGTTGTTTCTGTTGTTGTTGGTGGTGGTGATGTTGGTGTTGTTGGTGTTGTCGCTGTTGTTGGTGGTGGTGTTGTTGTTGGTGTTGTTGGTGTTGTCGTTGTTGTTATTGTTTGTGTGGTTGTTGGTGTTGTTGTTGGTTGTGTTAATGTTGTTGTTGTTGTTGTTGGTGGTAGTGGTGTCGTTGTTGTGGTTGTTGTTGTTGGTGATGTTGGTGTTGTTGGTGTTGTTGTTGGTAATGATGATTATTGTTGTTGTTGGTTGTTGTGGTTGCTGTTGTTGTTGCTGCTGTTGTTGTTGTTGGTGTTGCTGTTGTTGTTGATGTTGTTGTTGATATTGGTGTTGTTGTTGGTGTTGTTGTTGCTGTTGTTGTTGTTGAACTCTCACTTCTGAAGAATAATTACTGTTGATCCCCCCCGTCCGGTGCACAATCTTTTTTCTCGATTGAAGTGCCCTTCCCCGGGCTCGCTCCCCTCTTGAGCGTCAAACTGTGTCGTTGGCCCCCGGGTTACAACAACAACGGTTCCCGCCTGAGACTTCCTCACAATTTAGCCAGGACCCCCGCTCCCGCCCGAGACTTCCCTGCAGATTATTCAGGAATCGCGCTCTCGCTTGGGACTTCCTTACAATCTATTCAGGAATCGTTTTCCTGGCGCTCTGGAGTCGCGCTCTCGCTGGAAACTTGCTTGCAATCTACTGAAGAATAGCGTCCTTGCGGTGGACACTCTTGCAATTGATTCAAACGCCGCGCTCCGGACACCCAGGCACCCAGGAGTCGCGCTAACGTTTAGGACCCCCTCACAGATTGCCTAAGAATCGGGATCTCGCTGCCCTTCGTGGCCCCGTTGCAGCCCTTCGTGGCCCCCTCGCTTTGTTTCGTGGCCCCGTTGCAGCCCTTCGTGGCCCCCTCGCTGCCCTTCGCGGCCCCGTTGCAGCCCTTCGTGGCCTCCTCGCTGCCTTTCGTGGCCCCGTTGCAGCCCTTCGCGGCCCTCTCGCTTTGTTTCGTAGCCCCGTTGGAGCCCTTCGTGGCCTCTTCGCTGCCCTTCGTGGCCCCGTCGCAGCCCTTCGTGGCCCCGTTGCAGCCCTTCGCGGCCCCCTCGCTGCCCTTCGTGGCCCCCTCGCTGCTTTTCGTGGCCCCATATATGTATGCCCTTCGTGGCCCCCATATGCATGCCCTTCGTGGCCCCCTCGCTGCTTTTCGTGGCCCCATATATGTATGCCCTTCGTGGCCCCCATATGCATGCCCTTCGTGGCCCCGCTGTCGCCCTTCGTGGCCCCCTCGCTGCCATTCGTGGCCTGCTGCCCTCAGTGGCGCCGTCCTTGCCCTCTGCGGCCCAGTATACGTATGCCCTTCGTGGCCCCCGCTCGTTCGCGCTCTTTGTGGTCCCATGTGCATGCCCTTCGTGGCCCCGCTGTCGCCGTTTGTGGCCCCCTCACTGTCCTACGTGGCCCAGTTGTTACCTTGAGTGGCCCCGTCGTTGCCTTCTGTGGCCCCGCACGATCTGCCTTTCGTGGCCCCCGATCGTTCGCGCCCGTCGTGGCCCCATGCGCATGCCCATCGTGGCCCCGTTGTCGCCCTTCGTGGCCCCCTTCCTGCCCTTCGTGGCCCCGCTGTCGCCCTTCGTGGCCCCCTCGCTGCCCTTCGTGGCCCCGTTGCTGCCCTCAGTGGTGCCGTCCTTGCCCTCCGCGGCCCAGTATACGTATGCCCTTCGTGGCCCCCACTCGTTCGCGCTCTTCGTGGCCCCATACGCATTCCCTTCGTGTCCCCGCTGTCGCCTTTCGTGGTCTACTTCGTGTCCTTGTGGCCCTGCTGTCGATCTCTCTCGCTCTCGCTTTCGCTCGTCGTCGTCGTCGTCGCCGTCGTCGTCGCCGTCGTCGTCGACGTCGTCGTCGTCGTCGTCGTCGGTCCCCTGTCCGTCCCTCTTGGGGTCGGGTCGACGGTCCGCGGCCGCCCCGCCGATCAGCGCTGCCGCTGGCCAGGCCGACGGTCCGCGGCCGCCCCGCCGCTTGCCGGGGCCCGGCCTGCAGGGAAGAAAGGTATACCCCCCGAACAG